CAACAAAGCCCTTTACGTCCCGGATGGACACCTGGTGAACGGAAAGACACTTCGGGAATACCTAATCAGGAAAATCCATGACAAAGGCCATGCTAGCGCTGACCGGAACCTCCATTATGCTTCAGAATAGCTATACTGGCCAGAAATGCGTGACGACTTCAAGCGCTATGCGAAGACCTGTGAAGAGTGCTAAAGGAATAAGGAACAAACTACCTTACCAGAAGGATATGCCCGGACGCTAAAGCTACCTGCTGACGTGTTTGAATCGTATGCCATAGATTTCGCAGGACCTTTCAACAAATCCGGCGCATATGATACTATCCTAGTTGCGCTGGACCGCTTCTCTGGATTTACCTGGCTAATACCCACTCTTGCTTCGTCAACAGCCCAAGATACATGAGACCTACTGCAGCGAAATGTCTTTACTCCTCATGGCCACCCTCTCTCAATCGTTACCGACGCAGACCCTAAGTTCACATCCAAGTTCTGGAAACAAACATTAACCTCGATGGGGATAGAACACATCTTAGCCGCGCCAGGCCACCACCAAACCAATGGCCAAGTGGAGCAAAAGATCAGAGAAGTCAAGACAGGACTCCGGAACATAATCAACAAGCGGCAAAACAACTGGGAACCAGCCCTCCCAGAAGCAGTAGCATACATCAATGCCATGTACTCTAGTACTATTGACACGGCCCCTTACAAAGCCATATATGGACGAAACTACCCCCTCTTACCCCGCACCTTATTCAAGGACTCTGCAGTGCCGGCTTCTGACAACCACCTCAATCAACACGAAGCCCTCCGGAATGATACCTACCAGGCACTAAGAACCGCCCGATTCCGAAATACAACAAAGGCACAGAAGAAGCGAAGACTCCATCACGCCATACCCCCCGGCGCCATGGTCATGGTACATGGGAACCTGTTCAGTCACGAGACCAGTAGAAGCAAGAAACTCCAACCCCGCTGGCGAGGTCCATTCAAAGTACTAGAATTTGACAGCAATACCGAGAATTACACCATCAAGCTGGAAGGACGAATGTACCAGCGAGCCAAGGCAGTAGTTCATTCAACCACAGCTAAGAGATGGCACCCAAATGACGATAGCAGATTCCCAGGATGCAGCCACTCCCGGCCAGCCCCGCTACTTATCCACAACCAGGAGGAATGGGAGGTGGAACAGATACTTGACCACAGAAAGCGCTATGGAACCGATCAGTTCCTAATGAAATGGAAAGGTTATCCAGACTCGGAAAATAGCTGGGAACCAGTGGAAGGAATCGAGAATGCGATGACCCTTGTGCATGAGTGGTGGAAAGACAACATGCCTGGAGAACAACTACCCCCCACCATCAACCATATAAGGATAACTTGGTCGCCTATCTTACGCACCACATAACGAATACGCGAAGACCCTCCTACCAGACCAGATTTCTGGGCCCCCTATGATGCAAACGAGTTTGAAAGCAGCAGTGATGAAGACCAAACGATGGCAGATGTTATAGATACCTTTATCTAACGGCACACTCCCTATCTGAATACCTTGAAGATGGAAAACTATGAGGAACTGAATGTGAGGCTACGCCATCAGCTGGTGGGACTCTTGGTGGACCGCGGTGCTATCCTACTAGAAAATTTCTTTGATACCCTTTTAGTTGATTACTGCCCCAATTGCGAGGACCTACTAGTGGAAGTATGGGACAGAGCGGCAGGTATCCGCGATTACTGTGACTTTCATTCCCTTTATTCCAACTGTTTTTTGCAATTTCCAACATGTGTATTTTGTATTGGTGATGGACATTGGGCGCTAGGCGATGAGGAATATGGCGAAGATTTTTATGAGGAGTTTGATTTTCGAGATTATTGATTTGTTTAGGCAAACATATATTTTGTTTTAGGGAATGTAACCAGAACTGGCGTTCAGTCGGTTCGGTTCCAGGATTTGGTTTATGTTTTGTTTTACTTGTGGTTTCGAGTATTCTTTGATACTCGGTTTGTTTTACTTGTGGTTTAGAGTATTCTTTGATACTCAGTTTGTTTTACTTGTGGTTTCGAGTATCCTTTGATACTCAGTTTGTTTTACTTGTGGTTTCGAGTATCCTTTGATACTCAGTTTGTTTTACTTGTGGTTTCGAGTATCCTTTGATACTCAGTTTGTTTTACTTGTGGTTTCGAGTATCCTTTGATACTCAGTTTGTTTTATTTGTGGTTTCGAGTATCCTTTGATACTCAGTTTGTTTTATTTGCAGTTTGAGTGAACGGATGTTGGGGAACTCGCCCATGCAGGACATGGACAAAATCTTGTATTTAAAGAGCGCTGAATTCCTTAGAGGAACAGCAGACCTCAACGGACAGAGTATTTCTAATATACTTGGTTGAACCATTACCTCTTCAAGTCCCTATTCTTTATATCTTCCTCTCGGAGCCTCCCTTAACGCAGTACGCCCACCGGTTGTGGATCAACCTCTGCGCTACTCCTATTATACCCGGAGGTGTGATTAGGACCCTGGTGCGAACACGTTACATTAGCTACGAAGCTTAGTACCCGTTTGGATCGTCAGCGCGCTCTTGCAAGCCATCTACAAGTCCTAAAGGACCATTTTCATAAGGTATGATCTTCCGAGTATACCATGCGCTAGAATGACTACGAATTGTTAGTATAGTTACAAAAGCTAATTAAATTTCACCAAATAACCCCATCCAATATTTATAACATGGATGAGAAGGGTTTCATGATGGGGGTTGCACTACGGTGTAAAGTTATTGTTAAAAAAGGGCGCCGCAGAGCGAAGCTAACACAGGATGGTTCGCGAGAGTGGGTAACGGTCATAGAGGCCATATCAGGGGATGGTCGAGTGCTACGCCCCATGATTATTAACAAGGGCAAAGCCCACTACATGGGCTGGTATGCGAAGTTGCAAAAAAAAGATGTAGCTACTTTCGGAGTGTCAGAAAAAGGGTGGAGTAACGAAGGCTTAGGGCTCCGGTGGTTAAAGGAAATTTTTGATAGAGAAACCCGGGAGAGGTAAGTGATATTTAAATTAAAGCTAATTCTAATAATCCTAGAGCTAATCTGATCTATAGTGCTGGAAATTCCTATCGCCTTCTAATTCTAGATGGCCACGTATCACATTTCAATTGGGAATTTTTTGACTACTGCTTAAATGCAAAGATAATTCCCTTTTGTCTTCCAGCCCACTCTACACACCTCCTCCAGCCCCTTGATGTAGGCATATTTGGTCCCCTCCAGCGCCATTATAGTAACTTGAATGGCCTAGATGAGTTTATTCGAAAGGGCCATGCGGGGATGAATAAAGGGGAATTCTTACCGTATGTTGCCCTACTATTGCCATCCTAGATGACAATTATTATGTAATATTACAGAATCCTAATGCCCGCTCGTAGACTTACTTTTACAACAAAGAATATCCTTCGTGCCTGGAAGGCAGTAGGAATAATTCCCTTTAACCCTCGGCACATCTTGGGGGTGGTAAAAAAAAAAGAAACCAATGTCTCACCTTTAGGTTCTTCGGCAATCCGAGCGGCTCCTCCGATCATCCGAACTCTACGTGGAGTAAGCCAGGCTACAAGAACCGCAATATCGCTAGTTACTCGCACTACCCCATCCTCCCAGAAGCTGAAAAGACTCTTGGTTGGCCTTTCCGAAGGCTTTCAGCAAACAATTGCTGACAAGACTCTAGCGGAGGAGGCGCACCGCCAATACCGGCAATTGATGGAGAAGGAGCAGAGAGGAAAGACTTCTGATCGGCATAAGCTGATAGAAGCAACAGTAATCACTTCAGAAATGGTGATTGAGTTACGGGAACGGCGGGAGAGAGTGGATGCGGTCAAGGCTGCCCGGAAAGCCAAGAAGGAACAAAACCTCCCCTGTTCTCCACAAATTAGGCGAAAGAGAAGGGAGCCAACATCATCGCCTCCTTCAGATAGCCTTCCAACATCTCCTATTACTACTACACATCCTCTAGTGGATGAAGTGGATGACTTGTTGGAAGAAATGGAGGCATTGGACGTTGGGGGTGATGGTATAAGGGAATTGGGTAGTGGGGGGGTTGAAAATACAATCCGTCTGTGAGGAAAACGCTGATTACGAGTTACCTGATCAACTTAGATCAATTGGGGCATGTATTTAGCTTATTGGGATAGAGGGGAATGGCATTCAGGCATTGGAAGGTATAGAATATTGAAATGTAATCATTTGTTGCTTGGGAGAGGTGCTAGGACCCCTTCAGAAAGTGAGACCAATTGCGCAATCACGTCCGAGCCGGATCTGGGCGAAGAGCCGGTTCCCCGTAAAACACGTTACATGGGTGTTGTCCAACTAGATGTACCCCCAAAGTACAGTACAAGTAGAACATGAACACAGGGATTATAAATTCCTTAAATTTATCCTAGCTAAACCTATCCAACATCTTCTAGCGAAACACAACCACCGGCATATCCTACCTTGCAACCCAACACAAAAATGACAAAACTAACAAAAAAAAACAAAAAAACAATACAAAATCACAAAAAACATAACCAAACACCACCGTTCATCGTCATGAGCACTCACTCAGACCAGCCAAGCTTTCAAGTCCTGCACAATAGCTTCTTCATGAACATCAACATCCCCACCAAACAAATAAAAAAAAGTGAAGGTGGAATAACTGAGGAGCTAACAACCTTGTTGAAGTCTACTACCAGCACTCACAATATCCTCTTATCAACCTCCGACAAATTCCAGTAGGCCATATGCAGGCCAGGCAAGTCTGTCAAGTCCGCCCATTTTCCTTGACAAGACTTCCTAGTTCATCGCCTCACACCTAGACGGCCTGGCCTACTGCAGACAGCCTAATAGCTCATCTGCTCAAGCACTACGGTAACTGAAAATCAAAACTTCTCCTTCTCCCAACCCCTCAGGCACCTGCTCCATATGACAGCAGCCCCAGTGCAACAACCCCCATGGGATAAAGCAAGGGACAAGTCCAAAAATGTTAGATCTTCACACAGGCAATGAAGTTGTTCCCAATCATGCTAGCAGATTCGGTACCCATAGCAAGAACTGGCCCACCCACCATTCGTGGAGCTGAAGACTTAAGACTTGTAACTGTCGTCCTCGTGTTGATTTGGATTTGAAGGTTGTATTCGCCGTTTGAAGTCTCCTATTGGGTCACGAGCATCCTCTCCTCACAGCTACCGTTTGGTACCAGACTCAGTTTCTGACAAACGGGACATCAAGAGCAGGCTATTAACTTCAGATTAAAAAAATCATCTAAATTAGACAATTTTTTCCCCCAGTTAATCAGAATAACCTAGGTTATTTTGTTCCTGCTCCTCAAAAACAGAGCCCTGTAACAAAACCTACTCACAGCCCTTTCTTCGGGTTACTTACGCATTGCATATTCAGGCAGAAGTCTCAATCAGTGTAAATCTCTCCCTGACTCTCTGGAAATCTCATCAGTTTTGAATCCAGAATGTGGTTGATGAAATCTCGGAGTGCTTCATGTCCATTCCCCATAGTGAATAAGATATTTAAGGAGCAACTAGGAAATGTATTGGAGGGTTCAAGCAGCAGTAATAAGAGATCCGACAGATATGTCATTCGTGGAGAGAACTGAGCGTTATGGAGGGTACAAAGTCAAGATGGCGCTTCAGCCTTAATACTGGTACTGGTAATTCCTGATGTCTGTGAACACGACCGCTATTGCATACCACCAAAGTCTTGAGGCTCCGACCGATTTTTTGTACTTATGCAATCGCAGCTGTGTTCACAAACTTCAGGACACCACGAGTACTATTGCGTCCTTTGTGATATCAATGTGGGTGAAGTGATAGGTGGAAATAATATCACATCCTTGACAATATTAATGAGGATACCCCATAAGAGAATGGTGTACTAGGCACTCAAGAATTTTCTGCTTCAGGAGAGACTCCGAGAGAGGCAAAAATTACAGCAAAATAGAAAAGCATGAAAAGGTTCAACTCACCATCAAGTTCATTGAGATCTTGGAGAGTTGCAGGAAATTTCTGGCAACGGGTATTAGAAGTGGTGATAAGGGGGTGCAGGCGGTAGTCGGCCACGTTGACACGGGAATTCGCGGTGCGGGCAATGCTGTTTACTTCGCTTTTGCTCCAGTCCCAAATTAGTACCAGTGTACGGGGCGGTGGTAGTATAGGATAGTTTGGCAGTCACAGGGGGAGGCTTGCACGCACAATAGTTGCACAGCAGTAGATAGCCCGGCATGCACAACCCCCGGTATCCGGAGGAGGACCCTCATGTTTGCCCAGTAGATAGAAAAAACAACCTTCCCGATGGCTCTCAATTCAATCACCAGTCCTCACCTAGGAGGTTGGCCCTTTTCCTTGGTTCTCCTTCTGCTTGTTAGCCCTATTATCTTTTATCTACCCAGTGCCAAGTCTACCTGCTCAATTTCCGGTGATAGCAAGAAGAGTTCCAGTCATCTTTCTCTTCACAGGTGTGCATGGTCAACACACCATCCATCTAAGGGGAAGGTAATGGAAGATCCACACAGGGGTGCTCGGAAACGGATTGGTGTTCAGTTTGACAACTTGCCGTCTCATTCGTTTTGCACCCTGGACTCTAAATCGCCGCCTAGTGGCCTCTGCTCCCAATTGGATGAGCCTAAGCCCAAGTGCCTAGGAAGAGTCTTCAAACAAGAAAGAGAGGGAGCACTGAGATCTGGTGGGCTTCCGGAAATGAATCAAGGGATTGATACCATCTACTTTCAGAGGAAAGGCTACTGGTACTCAATACCACGTCAAGTCTTTTCAAGCCCAACCAAGGAAGACTCCCAGAGGTTCCAGTTACCGGTTCGACAGGATTTCGTACCACCGACATTCTTTGATAATTTACGGGGACTGTTACCAAGTAGCTCAAGTAGCCAGGCAGAAGATCCTCTTGGAGTATCAAACTCGAAGGTTATGGCACCCCCAGCAATTACCTTTTCTGGAGATAGCATGGTTGGAGTTAGGGGTTTCAGCAGTTGGATGAACTCCTGGTTCGCGACCCAAGGAGAGGAGATGCGGGTGAGTTGGCACAGGCGAAGAAGTTGAGAGTAGCCCAGATTCACATAGCCTGTCCGATCAAATCTACCACAGGCCATTTCCTACGTCAGTTACCAGACTCTATTCCTTAGGATGAGAAGAAGTTGAGGGAAGCATTAATTGAGCAGTTTGATGAGACTGAGGTGGACGAGCAGGCTCAGGAAGACATTTTGTCCATCATGAGTGGGCTCGAATAGGGAGAACATACAGTATTTGCCTACTCACGGAAAGTTCTCAAAATTCTGCAGAGAAAGCCGGCAAGGGTCAATCAGTTCGACAAGATCTTGATACGTTACTATATTGAGGGCCTTGCAAGCCAGCCACTATGTGAGATGGCGATTATGAGCTATCAGAAGCCAACCTCTGACGTGACGCCATGCAAAATTGTTAAAGCCATAATGAGATTGGCAACGCAGTTAAAAATAAAAGGGTATAGGAAGAGTGAAAGCGGCAACATCACGGGAAGTAGTGATGAGGAAGGGTCTAGTAGTGAAGATGAGTCTGACAGCAGCTCTGATTCCAATGAGGAAGTAGGTCGAAGGTACTTAAGACGATCCTCGAAAAGGTCTAAAAGACTCGGGAAGCGGTCTGAGAAGAGACAACAGGACAAGTTGAAACGCAAGGGGCACAACCACAATGAGGACCTCATTCGAGATGAGATAAAAGAGTTACAGGGCATGGTACATGACTTGATGAAGTCACAGAAAGTAGTATCTCCGAGTACGGATATGATTACCAGACGTCTAGATGTGGATCTCAGTCCGCTAGACAGTTATACGATCAACTGGACTTATGGAGGATATCCCCTGCAAGAACCTTATGAGTACGCACGGTCCAATCAAGGTAGGATAGCAATGCAACAGCCCCCATATCCAAATAGACACAGCCAGACACGTCAGTTTGGGAGTTCGAATCCTGGCAGATCAATGAGCAGACAGCAGGAACCAGGACAAGTAGGTCCAGCTATATACGAACCTCCTCAACAGACATATATGACATCCTGCGGAGGGAGTTCTACGATGCAACCAATTGTAGGACCAAATGGCGTTCTTTACTACCCCGCAGGCAATGCTCCAGTTTGTTACAGCTGCGGTGAGGAGGGCATATACGGCCTCACTGCCCTAAACTGTGAGTTTATGGTTTGCAGGCTATACCATCAGGGAATGGACATCCAGAGTCGACGCAGCCGAACGATATACCACCACCACCACTACCCCCACCACCAGTGAGAGGTCCAGACCAAGCGGTCAGCGTTATCGAGATTGCTAGGGCATCATCTGCATTTGATGGAGTAAAGATTAGAGAGGTGTCAGCAGCAGAGGTGGACGAGAAGAAGTTGATGCAGTTTATTAAAAAGATCTCTAGGGAGGATGATGATGATGAAGATGGCAGCAGCTTTTCTGACAAGGAGGCACCCGTGATGGCGGAAGAGCGAGCATGGCCCTTCAGTGAGCTCCCACCTGAGTTCAATGGTAAGGAAGGACCGGTAAGCCAGCGACAGAGAACCGAGACGGTTGAGGAAATAGCTCCACAAGTACGCCCTATCAAACAGCCTGCCGCCCAAGCAAAACACAAGCCTATCCGCATGATGGCAGGGAGAGAGAGGTTTGATTTTATTAGTGCTTTTAGAGATGCACCAGTACAGGGTTTAAACTGGGAGTCATTCTTTGACTTGGCTCCTAGTGTCAAGAAAGATATCTGTCGCTTGTTGATTCAAGAGCGGGTGAAGGGTCTCGAGCGCAGCAAAGGCAAAAAGCGGGGTAAGAAGGATATGATACATACCGGAACGCAGGATACTCAGGCTCCTACAGAGGAGGCACATCTTATTGCAACCAATCATGATCTCAGTGATGTTACCAACTTTTATACTCGCGGGACCATCAAGACGGAAAAGGGGAATTACCAGATCACTCACATCCTCGTCGACGCTGGCTCCGTGGCAAATCTGATGCCTATCAGAGTCTTGAAGGTGATTGGAGCTAGATTGATCAAGACAGATGGAATGGTCATACGCACAGCGACGAATGCATTGGCACGGATCTCATACTATGCTGATCTGTGCATTGTGGTAGCAGGAGTATCCTGTGACCTGCAGGTATATGCACTCCCTGCCGAGTACGGTCCCAGATATCCTATGCTTCTCAGCCGTCGCTGGCTCCAAGCAGTGAAGGCAAAGGGAGATTACTCGAATGGTCAGTACTATATCACTAGTGAGCATAAAACTTGTGTTCAGATCCCAAGTGATGAGAAGTACAAACACAAAGTACAGAAGATGGAGTGTGGGTGGCACCTACGCTTACCTGTGATATTATGGGATAGGAGCACTAGGAGGACGCAGTTATCTGCAGAAGTTGAAGAGGAGTTAGAGCTGCAAGAGGCTCAAGGGAGTAGGTTTTTTGAGCGGTTGATTGAGGTTATCAGGCATGAAGCAGATGCACAGATCAGGGAAGAGGAGGATGATTTGTCCTATAATAGTGGGATTTCTGAGAGTTCGGAAAACTGACCCCACCAGTTAATGCAGTAAGCTGATTGGCTGGTGAGGTAGATGTACTGAAGGTTACAGATTTTTCAGGTTTACAGTTCATGGATATAAATGGTGACAAGAGTGGGAATGAAGAGGTGTGTTTAGTGGATGGCATGAGAGAAGAGGATGATGATGATGATGATGATAATGATGATAATGATGATGATAAGGAAGCTATTGAGAGCACTATAGTATCAAGTGGGAGCGTGGACAGAGCAGAGAAAGGACTGGTTACAGGGAGCAGTAGGATTAAGAATAGTTTAAACATGGAGTTAGTTGGCCTGGATAATATTTACATCTACAGAGGAGCTGGATATGGAAGTGAGAGCAGTGTTGGGTTAGAGATGGTGAATGAATTGGGTATTGGCGGTGGAGAAAGGAGTGTGGAGATCAAGATGTACAAGGAGGAGAAAGCAGTGGTGCAGGTCACGGAGGCGGTTATCGATGATAGTGAACCGCTAGGAGTTGTGGAAGAGTACGATCGGTATGAGGTTTATGAGATGGAGGAGGAGGTGTTTCGGAAGGTGTTGGAGTTTCCGACAGTACGGAGGCCAGCGGAGTACAGAAGAAGATTGAAGGAGGAGAAGGAAGAGGAAGAAGCGGTGGCGTGGTTTGCGACAAGGAAGATCTCATTAGGGGAGCAGCTTAAGGAAGAGGAGAAGCAGAAGGCAATATTGTTGTTATACACATGGAGAGATGCCTTTATGAATGCATTGAAAGATATGCCAGTGACAGACTTACTGGAGCACCATATTCGGGTTTGGCCTGGAGCTCAACCAAGACGTGCGAAGGACAAAGTCTATACAAAAGAGGAGCGGGATTGGCTGGAGTTGAATATGCCGCAGTTGGAGAAGGCAGGAATCATTGGGCGTTCCGAGTCCCAATGGTCGTACAGGACAAAATTTGTGAGAAAGAAGGATGGTGGACTT